GATAGAAAAATAATCAACAATAAACTCTTGTTGATTTTTAATCAAATGTGCCTAAATGCAAAAGTAGTGCCCAAGTAAATTTTGCACATTCTGTAATTGTAATAGAATTATAATTTTTAATTTCTAATCATACTTATTATAAAACCCAGATTGTTTGTGTGTGTGTGTTCGTTTATATATTGCATTGGATTTCTTACATTTTTCAACCGATTTCAACAAAACTTCACAGGACTATGTAAAATTACCTTGCAGTGGTTCTGACAGCACCAAAAATTGGAAAAACACAATTGTTTTTGCACGAAATCAATTTGAAAACACGATTAAGAGGCATCGATGTCATGAGCATGAAAGGGGGACAACTCATAACGAGTTATACTTATTATAAAACCCAGGTTGTTTGTGTGTGTGTGTGTGTTCGTTTATATATGGGATCGGATTGCCTACATTTTTCAACCGATTTCAACAAAACTTCACTTTTTTTTGGCAGGTAGTGTTTCTTATTGTCTTGCACACTTTTTTTCTTTATTTTTACATTCAGAATGCTTTAAAAATTCCATTTACAAGACAACTGTTTATAATAAAATTCTATTCAATCGGTAGACTCATAACGATTGAAAACAATGTTTTTGTTTGATTTTGACCAATTCGTAAAAAAAAAATACAAAAAAAAACAAAACAAAAAAAACTAATTAAGACATGCGTGTCCGTCAACCTTAAACAATAATCTTTGTCAATTTTATTTTTCAGTCTTTATGATGGTTGATACTTGATCTATTTCTTACTGTTACATCCCTGGGCAAAGCCAGGCTCTACTGCTAGTCATTATCAGCAGTTGACCTAGAGAAGTCATATTTCTTGTCTGAATGAAGGCTCTGTGATGTGAAATGCTTAACCAATTCAGAATTGATGAGGAACCCTCTAGTTGTCTACCAAAAAAGAGGTAGACGGCTAATAGGCTGATGGTTTGATGGATTCTTAAAGACTGGAACTACAGAAGAACAAACAGGAAAGCAAGAGGCAGCAAGGCATTTATTGCACAGTTTAGAAAGAACAAGAGCCAATTTGGGATCATTAATTGATTTGTTTTCTACAGCTTATCAAAACTTTGCAGGTTATTTAAAGTCAGAAAACATTTTTAGATTTTAACATTTTTTTCTTTTTTGAGATAATAATGATTTAGTGATAAAAATCTTACTAATGATAACTGGGAGGAGAAGAGGTATATTCATACCTTTCCTTAAAAGGTATTTGTGTACAAGGGAATATAATTAACCCAACTGGATATGGAACTCGGATTAATAATTCTGAGCCATTATCTATTGCACCACTTGCACATCTAAGTTTACAACACCTGGTATTCCTGAGTGGTTACCTATCTAGGTACTAACCAGGCTTGATGTTGCTTAACTCCAATCAATGTATGAGGACCACAGCCATAAACCACATTGTCCTGCATTTTAATTGTGCAAATACATATCAGATTCCTACTATTAATGTCCTAAAAATTATGAAAAATTAAAAATGACTAATAATGCAAAATACTGTCTATATTACCATATAATATGAATGTGACTGTATGCTGAGAGATACATGAGCATACAGGGTGCGATGGGTAAATTGTCATCTAAACTATGCAAAAATGAAAATAACATTGACATCTCACTTTAACACACATATATTTAGCAAAATTATGCAAAAATATCTTGAAATACTGAAGAGTAAATTTATTCAATAAAATTGCCATATGCTTCAACCACGGCTTCCAGATGATTCCAGTATCTGCTGCATCTCTTCTGGACAGTTTTCATGTTTAAGTTGATGCATACTACCATAATATTTGCCTTCAGTTCATTTTTGGTGTGACAAGGAGTTTTGTTAGTCTCTCGCTCAACTATACTCTACATGTAATAATCAATGGGGTTGCAGTCTGGGAAGTTAGGTGGCCAGATGGGAAGAGTAATGTGGTCACAGAAATTATCTGACAGCCATCAGTAGGTTCTCCAGCTTGTGTAGTATGGTGCAGAGTTCTGTTGCCAGACATAGGGTCTTCCAGCAGACATCCTCTTGACCCAGGGCAGCACTACCTCCTCAAGGCACTTGATGTTGGCCTTTATATTCAGTCAGTGGCCTTCACCAACAAATTCAAGATTTCTTTTCCTATCAAAATGATAATGGGTTTTCAAAGATGCTGTACCTTCATAATCACCATTAGACTCTTTCCAAACCCTCTGCATTGTCCTCAGATTGAAACGCAAATACACTGAAATGTTCATATTGAAGTTTCTGGTGTGAATGCCAAGCAGTACAGCATGCCATTTCCAGATTTCTGTCAGAGTGAATTGTGTCATGGTGCTCTTTTTCTCACAGATGGTGCCCAACTGAACCTAATATATTGTGCAGATGACAAAATCAAAAACAAATGATGTCTATATGCAAACTTAAAAATATAAAATGGCGACAATTTACCCATCGTACCATGTACATATATTTCCCCATTTATATATATATATATATATATATATATATATATATATATATATATATATATATATATATATATATATATACATAGGGTTTCATCTTGGAGCAATATAACATATTTCCACCAGACTCTAAATTGAGGAGGAAAAGTGGGGATAGAGAAAATATGCTGCAGTTGTCTTTCCACTCAATCAATGTAGACATGTTTCCGTTGTGGTACATCATTGCGATACTCAATAACCCTTTGGCAATATCAATAACCTGTATGTGTCAGGCCATAATTGTCTATTTCACTGAAGAATATGCATTTCCATGCACAGCTGCACCTATACACCCTCCTCACACCCACCTGATGGTTTCTCCCCACTTTGCTCTCATTGAGTACTGCTCTCTCTTTCTTTCTCTATCTATCTCTCTCCCTGTTTTTTTACTGTCCTTTTTTTTTTTTAAATTCTCTTTTCTGGAGATCTGTTGTTGCAAGAGGAGAGAAAGGACATAAGTTATTGATGGGAGTTTAGATCATATCACTGATGAAGTATCCTATTCCATTGTCTTTTATAAATGCTTGACACTGATATATTGCATGTTTATGGATTTTATAACATAATATCTCATGTAAGATTTCTCTGCCTCTGATTGGCTCTTTATCTAATTTTTATACTTTCACTTCAACTGGCATATTTTCTCGATCTGTTTTACTAGTCTCTTTTTGTTCTCATTTTTCTAACCAAATGCTTTGTCAGACATTTTTTATTTTGCTAAGCATTTTTACCATCATATTTCTCTTTCTCTTATCTTGTTTCTTTTATCTTTTAATTTTTCTCTTCTTTTAGACCTGTTATTTCTTATTCTTTATATATTTCATTGATTTCTTCTCTCATTTTCTTTTGATTAGCATTTTTAGATTTCGTTTTATTGGCTTTTCACTTCCTCTCCTAAACTGTTTTTTTTTTTGGCGGGGGGTCATTTTTATTTCCTTACTTAGGTAGTTGTCGGTACCTCTAATTGCTACTAATATTTTTTTCCCTTTCATTTCTCCCTCAAATTCTTTGATTTCCTTCTTCATCTTTTTATATCGGCTTTACCTTTTTCAATAAAAACTACAATTTCTGATCTCATTATTCTTCTATCACTTGTAATTTTTATTGTGTTTCTTTTTTTTTATCCTATCTGTCCACTCTTCTCCTTAATCATGCATGGTGAACCTTTGAAAGCTTCTAGAGATGCTATTTAAACAGGTTTAACAGCAAATGAAAATCTGTTAAAAAAATTCAAGAATATTTACAACACGTACTGACATTACCTTAATAAAATTTTTAAAATATATCTTAAATTGTTTGGAGGTACTTTGAAACATAAACTGTTTAACCTAAATCAGTCATTTATTTTTCTCTCTTTCTGACCAATTTATCCTCCCTTTCTATATAATTTATATGGTCTTATTTTTCACACTTTATCAGGTTTAATTCTGAAATATCTCAGCAGCAGCAATTGCTCTTTTCCATCCTCCAATCATTTTTTTTTTCTTTCTCTGCTTTTTCTTCTTATTCTTCAGTTCCCACTTATCATCGTTTCTCTTCCTCTTAGTTACTTTCCCTTTCCATATCCTTTATATTGACGCCTTCTTTTGCTTTCTCTATATTGTTTTTCTTCCTCCTCTAATATTTCATTCTTGCTCTCCCCTTCATTCATTTATCCTTCCTCATTATCTGTTCTTTCCTCTTTCCATATTCTTTATACTGCCTTATTTTTATAGCATTTTTCATTTTCATATTTAATTCCTGTTAATTGGTTGTTCCTGTCATGCATTTTATTCTTTTAAATCTCCTTTTCCTTCCTCCTTCAATATTTAATAATGTTGAGCCTGGACAGTACCTAGATAGGTGACAGCTTGGGTATACCAGGTGATGTAGGCTTGGATGTGTGGATGGTGTAATGGATAATGGCTCTGAACTGTTAATCTGAGACCTGAGTTCCAATTTCATTTGGGTTCTTTATATTTACTTATGTGCAAATACCATTAAGAAAGGTATAAATCCACTTCTCTTCCCAGTTATGGGTTAATTAGTAAGACATGTATCACTAAAAGCATTAATATCTAAAAAAAATTCTTACAATCTAAAAATATTTTCTGGTTTTAAATAACCTGCAAAGGGTTGATAAGTTGTAAAAAATCAATTAATCAATGAAATAGTTATTAGCTACACAGGCATATTTTTCAGATTTATTTACACTCTCTGAAATATAAATATATGGAAATTATTATAGCCACAAAGTGAGGGATCAGTTTATATATTGATTATAATATAGAACTGATCCCCGAATTTATATCCACATTATAATTTCTTGTTTGTTTATCAAATTCTGATTAGGTATGAATTTACTCATCCCCGCCCCCAGTTATGGGTTAATTAATATGATTTGTATCGCTCAAGCATTATTATCTAAAAAAAAATTCTTACAATCTAAAAATAATTTCTGCTTTAAATAACTTACAAAAGGTTGATAAGCTGTAGAAAATGAATGAATCCATCAACAATCTTATTCTTTTCTTCCAGATTATCTCCTTTTCTCTTTCTATCAGATACTCTTCCTGTCTATATCCTTTATATTGCTTTCTTCTTTTTTTCTTCTACTGTTCTTCCTTCTCCGACATTCCTTACATTCACCCTCCTCATTCTTTTGTTCTTCGTAATCATATCTCTCTTCCTATCAGTTAGTTACTCTTCTTTTTTATAGCTTTAATATTGCTACCTTTTTTTCTAAATTTTTCTTCCTCCCCTCTTCTTCATTCTCATCCTCCAAGATTTATTTTTTCTCTCTCCTCATTTTTTTTACTCCTATTCATTATCTCTTCTTCTTTACTTCTCAGTCAATCTCCCTTTCCATATCCTTAATACTGCCTTCTTTTTCTACTTTTCCTCCTCCTCCAAGATTTATTTTTCTCTCTTTTCTCTCCTCTTATTCTTTTGTTCCCACTCATCATCACTTCTTCCCTTCCTATTAGTTGATCTCCCATTCCATATCCTTACTTCTTTTTCTAGTTTTCCTAGTTCCTCCTCCTCTTTCAACATTCATTTTCTTTTTCTCCTCCACTCATCTTATTCTTATGTTCAGACAAATCAGTCCCTCTTCCTCTCACTTGATATTCCTTTCTATATCTTTATTATTACCTCCTCCTCCTTTTTTTCTTTTACTTGTCCTTCTCTAACATTTCTTTCTTTTTCTTATCCCTATTCTTATTCATTTGTTCACAGTAATCTTCCCTTTTTCTATATTCATTAGATTACTTTATTTAGTTAATATTTCTTTGATAAAAAAATAATTTATCCAGTAAAATCTGTAATCATTATTGAAGACATTCACCTTAGACTTAGGTGACAGTAAGATGGCATTCAAATAATAAATAAAAGTAAATTTTTACTTGACTGATGTTGTATAACAAAAGTAATCTACACACTTCTAATTGTGGTAGCAGATGAAATCTTTATTCCCCTACTCTTCCTCCTCCTTCTTATTCTTATACTCTCCTTCCTCCTCCTCCATCTACTACTCTTCTTCTCTTCTTCCTCTTCCTCCTCTTCATTATTTTTCACCTCCACTTCTCCTTCTCCTCATTATTCACCATCCATTTCTTCTACTTCTTCAAACTTTAATTCTTTCTCTCATTCTCTTCCTTTTTTTGCTCCCCTTCTCCTTTCCTTCTCTTGCCACCCACTTACCATTTATTTATCTTATTCTTGATGTTTACTAAGTATAACTCAGTCAAAAATGAGGATAAATAGGGATTATGAAGACTGTGTTGCATCAAACTTTCAAGGAGAAATATACTGCCTGTCTGGAAATTTTATTTTCAAGCCTTTACTCTTTTTTATAAATTCTAATATTGAAAACGGAACAAATGAGGAATATCTAATTATCTTTGCTATAAAGCAAATCACAAGAATAAATGTGACAAGAATATCTATAGATTGTCACCTGTGTGTAAGTACCCAGGTGAGATCAGATTCACTCCAGTAATATTTTGTCTCCAAGAGAAGCTTACAAAATATTCTTCAATGGTTTGGCACTGCTGCAGTTATTTTCTTACAATTTCTTCATATTTATTTTTTACAGGTATATCCATTTCTCTTTGTATTTTTTTATTAACAGGTACAAAGAGGTCATAGTCTGTAAACAGTTATCCTAGAAAATATGATGAACTCTCAGTGAATTTAAGAACTCAAGTAATACTTTTAAATAGCCCTGTCAGATCTAAACTCTTAAATGGATGTCATCCAACTCATTCATTAATGTGCAAACTATCAGCTGGATACAACAATTTTCTCAAATCAATGATTAAATTTCTGCAACACATAACAAGGAAAGGGTATTTGGAGAAATTGATACTCACAGGACATACTGAAGGCAAGAGAGGCAGTAGTAAATAACTCAAGCGAATCAGCCCTGTAGACATTAAAGGAGAAAATATGTTCATCAGATCTCATAGACTTGTGCTAAAAAATCACAAACAAACAACTTTACCAAATAATAAAAACCACATCACTCGAAGACTTCCAGCAGTGGCAACAACTAAAATGGTTAACATATGTAACTAGAAGGGAAAATAATGACATGATGAAGATGTTAATTTAACCACAGTACCTCAAACAAAAAGTTAGAAAGGCAACACTCATCACTACTAGAAAGAATCATAGCAGTTACTCAATTTGAGAAGACTATTTTCCTGAAAAAAACTGTTTCAAGAGAAAGCTATTATAAATTCCAACCAAAAATAATGCTAACTGTTTGGTCAATGAATGTCAAATGTTTCCTGTATGGAAACAGCTATTCTAACCATTACCAATGTTACAGTAAATACACATCTCTTGGAATATACATCCTCAGCATTTTCAAAATCCAGGTAAATCCGTTTTTTCTTTTTGTTCATGATCCTATTTACCTAGATCTTATCAAAATTTCAGTTTCTTCAGAAATAACACAACTCAAATTATAAGATAATGCCAAGAAAAATTAATTATTACAAACTAAAATAAAATAAATGTTGTAAAGTCAGTTGTTGATTCGAATTAAAATAAATTAAGATTGTACAAACTTATACAAAGTTTTTCTAAAATCTTAGAAATCAAATTGAAAAATAAAATCTGATGAGAAATATGTTTGGTTTAATACTATTATTATTATTTCATGTAATTTATGACTTTGAACTTTCTCTTTACCATGGAATATATATGAATCAAGAGTTTATAGTGTAATAACAATAAAAATTATTTAATTAAAAATTTTCTCCATGCTTTCCAGTTAACTTTAATCTTCAAAAATTTAAATACAATGTCAATCGCTATCTACTGTCCTGATTCCTCTTCTTTTGTTTTCACGCCTTAGATTTCTTTTTTCTAATCTTTCCACACTCAATAGCCCCTTGTGTCTTTGTGGCTTTAATGCCTTGCTTGGGGTGAAAATAAATGTTGGACTAACAGTGTGGGAAATAAAATTGAATTCAAATTACAAGAGATACATTTCATGTTCACTTCACGTTCTTGCAAAAGGCATGAATACATTAATCTTTTTCCCACCTATGGATTAAATAGCAGTACAGACTGGGCTTTCTCGTCTTGGTTGGTAGTCTCTCTAGGATAAGGACAACTTTGAATTAAAAATTAAGGAGGAGTTAATTGTAAACCACTATATTATCTATGGCAATATACAATGTATAAATATTAAAAGAAAAAATGATGTTGTAGAGACCTTTGAGCAAATATGACATAAAGAGACATGGCAATCAGGAAGGAGGAGTATATTTAAATATTTCTAAAATTCTCTATTTTATAAAATGTGCCAGTCAAATCATTACTATTCTAATGAGTAGAGCTCAAAGTAAAATTAAACCAGTAATAAGTAAAGAATAGTGTCACATTTTTCAAGAAACTGGAATAAAATGGTATCTGTTGGTTTTAATTACTAGGAATGACTGAAAACCCGAAATTTCTAGACAAAATATACAGATGCATGCTGGGATTTCTTCCTAACCAAATAAGATAGGTCACTTCTTGGTCCCATCTAACTTAGTTCTGTTCTTTCTTGTAAAGTCATAGTCACTTGTCTGTATCTCTTTTGTGTGTTATTACCATTCTTAGTTTGTGAATCTTTTGCCTCATTTATGTTGCTTTGCCTATTTTTGTCTTGCATATATTGTTTGCTTCATATTATTTTTGCCCTGTTCTTTTCTTTCTCTTGTTATTGTTTATTGTAAACTTTGTCAACTATAATTGTTAGGCATTTCTGTCAATTACATTTAACTATAGCCAATTACTCTACACTATCTTTATAATTAAAATGCTATCACAGTGAGCAATAGAAATGAAAAATGACTCATATCTGTTTCATATATAACACAAAGGCCTTTGATAGGTCCCAGCATGGAGAGTTACTTGAAAAACTGAAAAGCTTTATTTATATTGGAAGGATATTTGAGTAATCTGTAAACACTATTGGGAACAAGTACAATGAATACATGAAAAACAGAAAAGTAGATTTCTTACCAGATTTATTCAACCTATTAAGATTTACTAAGATTTATTCTTGGTAGATGCAATCTTAACAACATAAGATACATGGATGACACTGTGTTGATGGCAGACTCAGAAAGGGAACTGAAAGAACTTATCAACAAGGTAGTAATGAAAAGCAAAAAGAAAGAATAAACTATCAACTGTAAGAAAACACAATGCATGGTTGTTAGCAAAAGAGATACATAAGGTTTGAGCTATGTAATGGGGATAACCAAATCAAGCCAGTAGAGAAATCCAACTAAGAAGTATTGTAACAAACAGAAAATATGATACAGATATCTGAAGGAACAGAGGAATAGCAAAAGATATCTTCCAAAAACTAAGGAAAAGTATTAAGGAAAATATTGTTAGAAACAAAGAAAAGAATACTGTTATGTAGTATCTAATCTCTGATATAGCAGTTTATGCAGTACAAGTTCTTCAAAGAAGAAGAAACTTGAAGTTACAGAGATATGGTTCTATGGATAAATGGGAATAATATCATGGATAGAATATGTTAACAATAAGGAAGTCTTAAAGAAGAATGGAACAACAATAAAACTTATACTCACAATCAGAAACAGAGAGTTTCAATTTGTGGAGCACATAAGAAAGATAGATGGCCAAAAGAATTTAGCACTCACAAGACATTGTAAAGACATGAGAAATGAGAGAACGTAGAAAGTAACTTTGTTAACAAGTTTCTATAACTGGAGAGAAGAACAGAAACAAAGAGATGACTGGAATTTTGAACTGAACCCTTTATTTTGTCCACCAGGGTAGAGTGTTCTATTTCCACATACCATGCCTCCTCTGGATGTATCAGTTATCTCCCTTTAACTCATCTCTCTAAGTTTTTGTTCACCACTGCTGTAGCCAGTTACTTGCAGAAACAAAAGACATGAAGTTGTGGAGAGCCATGATCATTCATTTCCTGAAGGGATGTGGCATATTGCTTAATGTAGAAAAAGCAGAAATTCAAACATCATCTTTTGGTCTCTGTAAAAGTTCATTTTAAACATGGAAAGGGAAGTTAATTTACTCTGCCTACAAGATTATTTCATTCTCTCAGAATAACTCGAAATATACTTGGACTTTGGTTATCATGACTTTCCACAATTTCCTATCCTTTGTATCACTACTCTCTCATTATTTTGTTGGCAAATGTTCAAAACAACAACATTCAGACATTTACAGCTTACACCCACTATGTCACATACACAAGACTGAATCATCCTCAGTCCCTCCATATTCTACTATATTAGTATGAAGACTGTCTCACTCAGAAAGCTTCTTCCCAAGAACTGCAACTTTGCAGAACAGAATTCCAAGTCAATGCTTTCTTGCTCGCTAGTAAATATTCAGGCAGGTGGTATAACGGATCTTTAAATGAGAAATCATAGAGCCAACTTCAAGTTTTAGTTGGGTTCATTATATTCACATGTGAAAATATCCTAGGGAAAGGCATGAAGCCACCTCTTCCCCCTCCAGCTACGTGTTAAATAGTAGGACTTGTATCTGGAGAAATCATTATTTTCCAAAAAATTGTTAATTCACTTGCAAAAAAAAGAGAGTTATTCTTGCAACCAAAATATTTTTTGTCTTTAAATAACCCTAAAATAGTTGATAAGCTATAAAAAAAAAATCAATCAATCAATACACATTTCTACTAAGATTGATTGTTGCAACGAGCCTCGTTCAGCCCAAGTCAAGATCCGTAGATTCTCTCTCTGC